TCATAGTTGAGGGTTGTATTTGGCTCTGCCCATATATCCCGTAAAAGAACCATACAGGAACATTGGCTCGTATTGTACAGGATACCATTTCAACCCAATCATAGGGTTGTGAAGCGTGTATGAACACCCTGCATTGTTTTGTTGACTTGGAAAAGTCACCAACAACTGAGGATCAAGATTTTTAATCCATTCTGGATGAACTCCGCAAGAGTCTTGCAGTACACAAGTCCAAGGTGGGTGAGGATCTTCCAAATGCTTTCCTTTGCTAAACATTGTCAGGACAAAAGAACAAAGGCCAAAGAAGGGAATAACGGCAAAACGGGAGACCAAAGCAGCCTTGGATGCTTTAGCTTCACTCTGGTGCCCCTTGAGGTATCCAAAGTTTTTAGGATAGGGGGTATATCTTGCAGTCAAGGGGCCAAAGAATTGGCTGTGATTACTCAAGAGAATGCATTGCGAGAGTGATACCATCTTTGAGCCTTTCCCATAACACGCATATTTTCTTTTCAAGATAATAGAGACCGTCAATCTTTTCAACCGGAATTTTGGAGGGAAATTTCAAACAACCAATGAGTGGGCCATCAAATTTGATTTCCAGTGGTGTAAAACCAATGTAGAAGTAGGCAACAGAAGCCCAACGTGGAACAAGGATTTCACGAGTGTACATGCTAGCGCAAAGGACATTATCCAGAGATGGAACATAAGGGAGGACATCTGCAGTAGGTAATGCATAAACACAAAGAGTCTCATTCAGATGAATAAAGGAGTGATCTGTTGACTGTGCCATCTGTATGTAGTACAATGGGGGTGAGTTTTCATTTGTGGTGATGAAGGACCTTGTCCAGTCCTTGGGAGGGGGTTTTGGGTATTTGTTCCTCTCTAGAACATCTGTGGTGTATACATGCTGCAGACGCAGAGGCTTGATTGATGGTGGTGGTCCAGAGTGAAGTAACTTGAAAGCTGGTGGCAGATAAAGACACGCAAATCATTTGTCACATGCGATGACCAAATATGGGAAAGGCCTGTCATGTGACTGTGACTGTGACATATATGAGTTGCCATCACCCGATCATCGCCCACTGCATCTCTATCATCCACGGTCACCGTCGCTGCCATTGTACAATGCAACTGAGGGGTTTCTACCTTCCAGTTGTACATTCTTTGTGGATGATAAACCTAGGCCCAGGACCACTGCAATCTCAAATTGGAGAGCGCTACCCATGTCAAGTTTGTTATGGGTAAACAACAGGAGGACTCGCTGAGGAGTCTTCTTGATCTATTGGGGTATATATATTACTACAGGTTGTTTGTACATGTGTACTGTACAGGTGATGGAGGGAGTGGCTGATGATGTCATGGGGCACAGCCCATGTGACCAGCTCCACTGCGTGAGAAACTTGTAGCTAAAATAAGGACAAAGGCAGTGCAGCGCGAGAAGGTGGAGTTTGAACAAGATGGAAAGTGCCGCATGGCAGAGTGTGTGAAAACTACAGAAGAAAGTTAAAGAGGAGAATGAAATTTAAAGGTCCAAAATTTGTGTATTGTAACACTACCCCCCCCTCCAAGATTCGACTTCCAGGCAAGACCAAGTACCAGAGGTAGTAGTTAGATTTTTGGGCATAGGTTGAAAAAGGGAATAAAAAAGTGTTGAATCCATGCCTCAAAGCTTCCTAGGAGCCGAGGGATCCTTAGAATAAAATTCCCGAACAGCATTGCAGGAATTGTCCAGATAGGCTTCCGGTTCCCATGTTCTGTCCTTGTCTCCATAGCCCTTCCATAGGACTAGGAACTCTAATTTTCCATGCTTCAAGCGTGCATCCACCACTCTTTTGACTTTGAACTCTTCTTCACTTTCCTGGGTGGCTACAACCGGTCCGGGCCGATCCACGTGCTGGCCCAGCAGCGGCCCTTTGTAGGGTTTCACATGGCTAATATTGACCGTGGGTACTATCCTCATTCATTTTGGGAGCTCCAGCTCCACTGAATTGGGTTTGACTTCCTTGACCTGGTAAGGGCCAATTGTTACAATTGATGTACCAGTACCTACTTACACTTCACCTTTTTCATACTTTTACTTTTATTTTTCCAAGTCACATGACCATTTACTTTACTTTACATTTTCGGACTTTTCATAGTCACATGACCAATCATGTGACACATCACCTGACCAAGTGTCTAGAGTCATCATGTGACCGGTCACATGCTAGACATTGGACTTTAAACTTTATTTACAACTGTACAGTACCTCATGTATTTTAGTATACATACAGGAGCAATACATGGGGAAGGACTCAGCGAGTCCTCCTGTTGTCTACCAACAACCAACTTGTTGAAATTTAATGGGTAACCACTCCCACCTCTTCCTCCTCTTTTGAGTGTTGTTTTCATTGTGCTCCAGTGCCCCAAGACTGTGTCTTGTTGGTGTTGTCACAGCAATCTATATTGGTTCACCATATTTTTCAAATGGCACTATCATCTCCCGATGAATATGTTAGTATTACATTTGGACCAGGGTGCAAAGTTCTTTGGGGATCTTCTGGTCATGAGAATCGGAGCAAAGGACCATATGGTAGTAAACATGAGGGAGTGAGATACAGTCATATCAGACTATATTTTGCCAAGGTAAAGAGCACTCCACATTTCACCATATCTGCTTTGGAGTGATAGCTTCTCAGGTTTATCAGTACAATCAATAGGATCAAGGGCAGAGGATGGCTTCCAGTTTTTTTAGTCTTTCATAAGGCAATTCACTATTCTTCTTGGCCTCACAAGGTTCATGGGGGCAGTTGATCAAGCATAATCAATAGCATTTTGTAGACTATTATCTAATTACTACTCTCACTGTTATAGTAACCTTTGTAATCACTCCCAGATGCACTCCCAAATGACAACATCTCTGAAGATGTCATTAGGATAACCTCACTACTGCTGCTAATTTTTTCCTCTGACTTTGACCCTGAGCTAAGTTCATCTATGTGTTCGGCACAAATCAAAGCTGTCAAAGGAACTTTCCACAAATAGTATTCTATTTTTCTATCCTCAACAGCTGGAAAAAACAAGAGACTTGAAGCCCAAGATGATCCCATTATAAGGGCCCTTACATCAGAGAGAGTCCTTTGGTGAACAAAGTGAGTAGTTGTCAAAGGGCTTCCAGGTGGGGAATAAGAGGTGAAGGTGACAATGGTGACTAGAACAAAGATCCAGAATCAGCCAAATGAATCGGAATGCACTTTAGTAAGTAGAGCAGGCATATTACAGCAATGGCCTGGTGCAATTCCAGATGGCTCAAGATCCGGGGATTGATGTGGCACTCAATGTGGTGCTCTAGTGCACAATGGTGCAGAACAACTGTCGTGCCTCCTGTCACCCTATCAAGAAGGACACACTATGGAAATATTAAAGAGTAGTATGGTTGTGAGGTTTGGCCACAACATACTAAATCCTTGATACATTCCATTATGAGCAATGCGAGCTTTTTGTTTGAAGGGAAGGGCTCAGAAGAAAAATGCTGAATGTCAGATGAGAGTCCTTAAGCGGGAACCAATAGCAGACCACAGAATAATTGCTGCCAATCAAAGGCACATAGTAAGGGGAAGATTCACATAAGAAGAATGAGAAACCTGGCCATAGAGGGCAAATAATCAGGGCTATGATGTCTGGTATCTATACTAGTGAACAAACAACCACCTGATGGGCCAGGACATGGGATTACATTATATAGGGTATCAGCAAATCCGGAAACACATGGACAGGTTTGTGTGGGGTCAATGGGTTCCTTTCAGAGTCCGTAGATAGGATAATTTGTGTGTATACAACCTATATGATACAATGTACAAAAATGGCTATCACACTGCATAATCATACATTCTGCCAAGCCCCGGACCGGTTACCTGATTCTGTGAATTGCAACTGCATCAGTCTATAATATCAGATCAATGCTAGCAGACATACATATTCAGCTGATTCGTGATACCTGAACCTGGGAAGCGGAAGCCGCTGCAGTCTGTTTTGCTGCGCAACTAGAATTTTTCAAACACATCTTCATGATATCTGTGATAGGCCAATAATGATCATACTTGTGATCTGCAGATGATTTTGTAAAGCCTATGGTAGTGTCAGTATAACCAAAATCCAGAGCCAGTTCACTTACTTCGTTAATCACAACTCTCAACAAATTGGAGTTCTGCTTGGAGTAAGACCTTGTTGTGTCTAGGTGCTCATTGATCAAGCTATGCACACTTTTCTGGCTTGTATGGTCAACCAATGACAGAAATCAGTGAGCATTCACAAACATACCTTTAGTTTATCAAACTCCTTAAGTTGCCAGCCTAGAACACTATAATATTATATTATAGCCTCCACGGCCAGGACGAGCAACTTCTCCTGGAGGCTTTGGAATTAGCTCAATCTCCGAGTCTGAATAAGATGTATCAGATGTTCCACTCAAACCAGACAGTGGTGAAGCATCATCTACTGCAGTTTTAGGGATAACTGAAGTGCTCCGCTGAAATATAACCTTTTTTGGTTTGATGTATGGCTGACCAACATTCCTACGCATGTATCGAGAGACACAAATCTCTTCCTGGGCAATAAGTTTTGATGGCGAGTTGAGTCTTCATCTCAGTGGAGTCTGTCCAATGAGGAGGGGAAAAGGTGGGGGTGGGGCTCCATGTTTGAAAAATGGAATGACGGGCTTTGATGACATAGAGGCAAGGCAGGGAGCATTGAAAACAGATATGGTTTGAGGGCTTTTGAAGCAGAAAATGGCAAACAGATGCTATAGATACTGCACATCAATATCAATACAATACTATAGTTGGGATAAAGGGAGCTTCAACAACTGCTTGATGGGCTGGCTGAATGGCCATGCTGTTTTTGTTTTTATTGTGAGTTGTTGTTGCAATAAACAGCAGTACAAAAGTAATTGTACATTAATGCCGTTGCAATAAACAGCACAAAAATTACCACACACTAGTCAGTCAAGATAATAAAACACAAAAATGCAACAAAAAAAGCCTAGAGATGCTCTAGCAGATACGCATCAAGTGAATGTTCCCACTGACGCACACACTTATAAATCTGTGCTTTTTGCTCTTGATTGTAAAATACATAGCTCCAAAAAACATGGTACAAGCTTTTTGCACGATGGAAGGGACATACATTGGTAATATATGCCATTTCCATATCACAGGATGGCACTCTCCTGGCCAGCAGAGGTAAGAATATTTTATTCCTCTAGATTGTATCCCTGATATTCTTCAAGGCTTTTACGGACTCAAGATTTGGGACTTGGAGATGAAGTGAGAGGTTATTATGTTTGGTCCCTCCATGGACTACTATCACCATGTGAGGGCCTGTTACTTGTGTAATGTGGCATTGCTCACTGAGGATTCATACAAAACCCTTATTTGTGGAACGGGGTTGGAATACTGGATTTTATGGTGCCAAGAGTCACAACAAGTAAGTAAGTGACCTAAATAATGACATTGAGAGTTGATCTAGTGACATTTTGATAGGGGTACTTTGAAGAGGGATGCGTGAAGAGGCTGGGAAGTGGGGGCCAGATCACTTGTATTGCTGCAAAGTCAAACAACAAAACTGGCGCAAGAATTGCGGTAGGGATGTGTGAACACACGGTACAGGTTTTCACCTGGAATAACAATCAAATCAATTCTGTGTTTGCTGTCAAGCTGGAAAGCACCGTACCAGTACATGTCAGTTTTATCAACAACCAAAACAAGGGTCTTCAGGTGTTTGGGTTATTTGATGGTGCCGTGTAAGTCTCTAGCACCTTTCATGGAGGTCCGCCCTAGTAATTCCTCAGTTTTTGCCTTAAAGGTGACAATGAAAGTGTGAAAACAACATCGATGTTGGACGGACTGATGTGAGTAGTAATTAATTCTCCCAGGATTACTAGATGCTGATAATTCTTCAGAGGAAGTGTGGCTATAAACCATTGGAACACCTACACCATCACCAACAATGCTCAGAATGGGTTTTCCCTGCAGCGACTTGAAAGTGGTGTAAATATCCGAGATGACATCACAAAGGTACCAAAGAGAATCTTTCCTAAACAAGTAAGATTTGTGGAAGAAGAAATGCTGGTTGTTGGGGGTAGCAATCATGGTGCCGTTTACCTATTTGACAAAAGAAGAGCAGACATCTTGGGGATACTTAAACATGGAAGAGGCGAGATGGTGCAAAGCATTGCGGCAAGGCAGTGAAGAAGAATGATGATATTGGTACTAACATACCTCTTCCGCAGACTCAAGACCTCGCAGATACCATCCACCATACAAGAAAGTGCAATAATTTGTGTATGGGTAAAAACCCAGGGAAAGGCCGCCTCAAATAAATGTGTATGAGATATGTGTTTCTGGCCAATATTACTCTGAGCCGTTATTGTTATACTAACCACAAAACAAAGTGCATAATATTCACCACAACCAATGACCATGATTTGTTCCTACTAAGCTGATTTTACACAATGTATAGGAGACTAGGGACGGAAATTGGGTTCTTTCCGAATTTCAAGCGACTTGACTTTCAGACTCCAGGTGGAAACAAAGGAGTGATATCCGGGTTAACATTGCCATATAATTGTGTAAAGGTATGGAGTACATCACTAGGAAGAGATGACCACCTCCAGCAAGAAAAAAAGAGGATGAATACTGCAAAAAAACATACAATCGAGACAATTCCCTTGGTAACAACATCAAAGCAGAGATAGACTCCGTTAAAGATATGCTGAAAAGGATAGTGGGAGAAGTACCATTGGATGGGATGCCCGTAACAAAGGGTGGTGAAGGCAAAAAAGAATAAAGGAAAGAAAAAAGGAGTATGAGAGGAATGCGCAAAAGACAGGATAGAATGTAGAAAAGGAAAGAGGAACAATTTTCTTATGAATAATGAATGGTATTCCTATAAACATTGTATCACAGTCTGCAGTACAAAAGCTTGTAAGGAGCTTGGTTGAAATGAATGAATGGTGGGAAAGACGAGCCATAGCAGCAGCATCTGGGAGGTAGGAACACCCCAGATGACCTAGCACACAATAAATAGCTACCCCACAATAGCTCAAATAATTGACATGGGTAGCGCTCTCCAATTTGAGATTGCAGTGGTCCTGGGCCTAGGTTTATCGTCCATGAAGAATGTACAACTGGGAGGTAGAAAGCCCCCAATTGCATCGAGTGATGGCAGCAATGGTGATCGTGGATGATAGAGATGCAGTGGTGGATGATTGGGCAATGGGGACTCCAACATGTCACAGTCACAGTCACACCACAGGCCTTTCCCATATTTGGTCATCACACATGACAACCCATCTTGCATTTGATTGTAAGTTTAACCTTTGCTATGGACTACTACCACCAGCAAGGTCAAGATTGAAGGCTCTAATGCTCTGCATCTGTGGCGTTTATACACCACAAATGTGCATTCAACACTTTCTATGTTAGAATATACTCTGACATACCAATACCCCATAGGATAATACCTCTGATTTGTAAGCCAATCCAGTATGCAGCAGCTATACTGTGTAAGACGTCTGTGGTTACATGTCATGTTTAAGATCCAATATTGTATAATCTTGGCCATATAGCTCAATTGGTAGAGCAGCTGGCATGTATCCAGAAGGTTCCAGGTTCAATCCCTGGTCTGGTTATTATCCAATTTTATCATTCTATGGGAATGTAAAGATACAATTAGCAAGTAGTAATGGACCCCACTGGCACCAATAAAAACGGAAACCTTTCAAAGAAGGTACAAAACAACTAGGGTCAACATGGCCGGACTCTCAAGCTGTTGTTTTCTCTATCAGGTAAGCCTGAATTGGTTCTTTCTTTGGATGCAGCTTCACCACTTCTTGTTCTCTGATTGCTACTAGGATTTTTCTACTGTTACAAGTTCCAAAACTTTATAAATGCAGGCCTTCAAGTTATTTGCACTGGCTATGACTGATGAAGGCCCTGGCATGCACCAACGAGAATCTAAACTGTGGAATCCTTGCTCTAAGGTCCAAGCCAACATCAATGGTCAGATTTTCACAAGCACATCCCCTTGCCCTGACACAATGGAAGATCTTTCTGAGAGTCTCAGTTGTTTGTTCCTATCAGATTGCTCCCCTCATCATCCTGTATCAGAAAAAGTGTGCCGTGAACCTTGTCACAAAGATAAGCAGCATGCCAACCATAAACTCCCCAAACTCCCATGCAGAAATATACAAAAAAAGGAGAGGAATAGAGCAACAAAACTGACAGCCAAAACTCTAAACATAATCAAATCCCATGTACACAATCTTAGTAAAATGATGGGAGCTCAACAATCTGTTGATCTGTTTTGCAAAATAGAGGAAAAGTTGGCAGCTCTCCGCAGATCCTTTGAAGAGGTGAATTGGGATGTGGAGTTGATCCGACAACTGAAGAAGGAAGTTGATGGGGACTTGGTTGTGCTAGAAGGACAGTTAGCTAAAATGCATAGCAATATGCGAATTGAGGATCACAATCCCTTGAATTATGATTGTGGTGAGTTATCTATGCCCAACTTGAGTTGTTCTGTCTGGTTTACCAAACTGTCCTGTTAAGGATATGAATATGAGCGACATCTAGACCGTTGCAATGAGAACGCACAAATCACCACATTCTTAGTGGTCGTTTGCAGTGTTTTGGTTGGTGTTGCACGGTGGGCTGGCAATTTGCTCATTGCTATGTTGCACCTTATTCTCCGGATGGCTTGAATGGACCAAGACGGCTCTTTGGATGCAGCACATGATCAAATATCAATATAGCACTATTGTGATTCAATCTAGAGGATCAAACTACCACTTACACTGTCTGCCCTTCATATAACTATGTCTACAAAGATGCTCAATTGCCTGGATCTTCCAGAGACCAGTACCCTGCAAAGTGCACAAACAGACCAAAATCAGATTCGGACATCTGTAACGCTATCCTTCTTCAAGAAAATGAACCCTACAAAATCTTTGTATATCATCATTTTTTTGACTATTCGAGTGATTTGTTATCTCAAGAAGACCTACAGATACAAATGGATGCATCATGCAACAAACTCAAGGCTAATCTACATACACCGCCCAAATTTGTCACAAATGTCTTCCATGCCAACTTTATTTGGACCTTCAAAGGACCAGAGCCTAGTGTACCATTCATTGATAGAGGACATGAAAGATGGTATCTATTTTCAATTAACATAGACTTTTTCAACAATGAAGGGCTCAACACCCGTGGAGCCTCTATATCTTGTGGAATAATATCCTGCACCTGCCTAAATCTTCCAGCTGATATTTGTTAAGCCCGAGTACATGTAACTTGCAGGTATTATACCCGGGCTACACAAACCCCCCCCTTAAGCAACTCAACCACTTTCTCTAACCCTTAATAGACGATATGGTCACTTACTGGAATTGAGGTGTTCACTTTTCCTGCACTGCAGCACCACCACATGGTAAAACAACATGCAGCGCTGTATGTAATCTTCCAGCAGCTCAAAAAATATCTTAGCTCAGAGGAACAACCAGTCACCACTTTTGTACTGTATGCCATTGCTCCCACAAGTCTACACTCTTGAGAACTGGTTTCAGTCACCCTGACTGGTGGGCGCCCACATAATAAGGACAAAATATGAAAGCTTGCAGAAGCTTGGAGGGATGCTGACCCAATGCATTGTCTCCTTGAAGGACTGGCTCAGCTACATTCACGTGAAGTGCTTTGCTTGTCCTCACAAAGGAGTCTGCTTTCACACCTTCCAAGGTTATACCTGCTTTTTAGCATGATTTCACTCAAGTCAATCCAGACAATCCAAGTTGGCTGAGGAAGAAATAGGTCAAGCAAGTCCAAGATATCCACAATCTTGTGTGCCGACCAGTGGAGGAAAAAACACCAACCAATTATAAAATAGCGATAGATAGTTTACAAGGCCGCCTGATGGCTAAAACCTTGAGCACTTTGGCCTTTGTAGGGAACAACCTTCAGCTGGTGCCAGTCACCAAAACCAGCAAAATGAAGAAGATTTGGGAAAAATACATAGTTTCCTGGGTAGGCTTGATCTCTGCTCTCATATTTGATCAATACTAACTTCTTCATTCAGCGGGCATAAAAGCCCAGAGTATCTCATGAGCCACAACCCCTGAAGGCATCATCCCTGGAAGTTCTGCAACACATACGGGATGCCATCAAGAACACTTCTGTCCCATCATGGATTGGCTCTGTACCTTGTAATTTTGGTAATCCCACTGCTGGTTCTCTGAAAGCGGACAAGTGGTGTACCATGATCACAATATACATCCCAATTGCCCTCGTTAGTCTATGGGAACACTCTTCACCTGATGTCTCCCACCAATATTGTCATGTGTTGGATCACACTATGCACATAGTATGTGGACAATGACAAGATCACAAGCACTAGCATACCGAGAGCATATGGCTTCACATGTTTTACAGTTAACTGAATTATATCCCCACATCAATAACCATACAAATGGGCATATGACCCTTCATATTTACAACTTTCTGCTCCTCTTAAGACCTGTCCATTTCTGGTGGTGTTTCCCATTTGAGCATCTCATTGGTATCCTCCAGCGGCTTCCGAACAATCACAAATTTGGCAACTTGGAATCAATGTTCTCACACACTTCCAACAAAGCAGGGAAGCTCAAGCACTGGGTAGCCCACATCGATTGGCCCCCAGCCATCAGAAAATGTAAACTCCTACTTGATAAATGGTATAAATGGCCTGGGAGGGAATACTATGAAAATGATGTTCGCTCTGACAATGTCTGCCAGACTCAGGGGAACAAAGGTGTACTGGTCCCTTTGGATATGTTGCAGGTGGTCTGAGGGTACTATGCTATTTTGCACGCACACTTTTGATTGAGTCGCAGTATGTTTGCTTGGTCATTGACTCACCTAGGTAATAGCCAGGTATTATTTTACCCCACCGGAAGCAGGTGTAAACCTCTGGTACCTGGAAATATAAGATATTTTCAGCCCTCTAGGCCAAGGCAAGGTACAGCTTGCCATTCAGCAGCACCTTCTGGCTCCTACTAGCACAGTAGATCCATTTCTATGGTACCCTCATTTCCCTGCAGCTTTATACTCACCTCTTCTGGTTCCTACACTCAAAGCAGTTGACCTTGATTGGGTCATGTGTCAGTATGCGTGTTGGCAAATGACCCCCAATACAGTCGTGATTGTGTCCCTTTCTCATGTAAATATCTCTCTTTCATTTCATTTCTTACTATTCATTTGACACATTTGTTATGGGATTAATGGCTCGCCCAACAAGTGGGCAGTTCGGGGGCAACAAGCGGGCGACCATCGGGCAATGTATTTCACGACTGACTAAAGACCTATTTTTCATTTACATTTTCGAAACACTCAAAATTGTTCCCTCAAAAATTTTGGCTGAAATAAGTAATCTGTATTGTGTCATGCTATGTACCCAAAATGTCCAATTTTGGAATGTCGAAATGTTCAATAAAATTATTATTATTCGCAATTACTTTTGTATCCCTCGACATTTCTAGTTTAACCCATTAAGGAAATAAGTATTATATTTATTATATATCCATAGCAAATGAAATTTGTAATGTAAGGTAGTTCAAATGTTGATCCAAATATCAAAATTTCCAACGCATTTTGACAAACATTTCGGAGCAATTAAATTCTCCTCACTGTGAAGTGCCTTTGCTCATTGCTACATGCTCTGACCTGGTCAGACTGGATGGGGAGTCTCGGGCCGCCGCCTGCTCTCTCCCTTGCTGCAGCCTCCTCCTCACCAGCTACACGATCAATTCTTTGTTTTAGCTTCGTCCACCTGCGGTTCTCGGTTCCCTTGTGGGCATATTTCCTTAACCTTAGTCTTCTCGGAGGCCTTAGTTGCGGTAGTCCTCCACCAACTACCTCCATCTCTGTATACCATAAGCTCTCCAAATGTTTCCTCTGTTTTTCGCTCGCCATCATTTCATCAACAATGTCAAAGCGGCCTTCCTTGAGAGCTAGGATGGCAACACGTCTCCTAACCATACTAGACTCCATTTTAGCACCCCACCGTTTCTTCCAAGAGTCCAAGAAGGCTTTAGCGAATGTCCCGCATTTCTTGGTGTATCGTAAGCTGCGTAAGAGGAGAAATACAGTCATAGATGTTGGTTGTATTCCGTGTGCCAGCAAAAGACTGTTGACTACACCCCGCAAGGCAAAATGACCCTCCAGATTTGAGATGGGAGGGCCAACGATGACGTGCAGGTGCACTATGTTTAGGGCAACACGATGCCTAACACCAATCAGTGGTCGAGGTAGTGACTGTAAATAAGTCTCCGTGATATCTAGTGCATCTCTACCGCGACCCAAGCGTAGCATCGCGCTGACAACCGAGTAAACTGCTCTTGCCCACAACTGGGTGGCTGGGAGATGGTTCACGAGCATACGATAACGTGCAAAGTCACGTTCCAGAGAAATCGTGTTCGCGCAATTTCGTAGCACTGAGAAAGCGGATCTTGAAGGGATATTAGCATGCCCAGCCCACCGTTTCTGTGCCTTGGTGCACTGACGTGTGGAGCCTCTTTTTGGAGTGCCAAAGAACTCTAGCCATATCGGAAGTAGTAGGCGTTGATTGTAGGCTTTGTATGAGCTCACAGCCCAGGTTTGGCTCGCGACGATCCTATTTACACGATGCCAGGCCTCTTCCCACTGTCCTGTTCTCACCAGCCACCTGACACTCAATTTCCAGGTTTCTAGGTTCCCTTGGACGCCTTCTGCACGCATCGTACTGAAAAGCTGCCACGCAGTACCGAGAGATGCATGCCGTAGTGCTAGTCTGATGAGGAGATTATAAGAACGTGTGGAGCGAAGGGCCGAGGATGTGCACGGCGGGAAGGAGTGGTATTTGATTGCAGCGGAAAGGGGTGACTGTTGACACGAAGATATCACGAGAAGATTTTGATAAAATGAAAGAGGTGATGCCTGAGCAAACAAGAAACGTTGTTGTACAGTTTTTAGCGTGTCGGGTGGGACCCACGTAAGAGGGAGGCAGGATGAGAAATGATGTTCGTAGGATATATATGAACGACCAGGGTCTTCCCATTTCATGTCATATTCCAGCAGTGAGTTTGGGTTTATGGAAGAGACTCCGACAGTAGGCGCTTTTATTCGCGATCGCGCTCTAATGGCTTGACGATGAATGGAAGAGGCATGAACTGACCCACGGGTGGTAGATGATGCACAACGGTGCCAGGCCCGATATGCAGCATCTGGTAACGTGCCTGTAAGGTGTGACGGTACAGCTAGACAGTGAAACGTGGTAGTGATGAAAAGCGAGCAGGCATAATGAAGCATGCATGAGTTTGGGTAAGAGATAGTAGTGCTACTCAGAAAGGGTCCAGCTAGGTTCATACGAGTTGCACTCGTCGCAGCTTTGCGCCAGGTGCACCCTGATGCCACAAAAACCATGCGAGCGAACCCAAGCGAAATAACCGACGCAACGTGGCTTGCACACCGCATTTGGGACCACTGTCCCCTTCGTTTTAGACGAGGTCCAGCCCGTGGCTCTGTCACTGGTGCGATGTTTTTGCTATATGATAAATAATAATAATAGTATTGTTAAGTGATCAAAATGTTTAGTCAGTGAACTTATGCTGTCTGTAATGTATGTTAAGTCTTTGAATCCTATGATGCATGTTTGACTTGCTGTTCCATTGTTGAATGTTCTTATAAGCCTGCCCTAAACTTGTGCACAGTATACTGAATTCAAGCAAAAGAGACTCCAGAAATGGTAAAGGATGATAATATGGTCTGATAACAAAACACTTTAGTAAAAAGGGTGAGAATTGGGGAAAAATCTACTTGCCAGTCACGGATAAAGCCAGTCAGAATTATGGGATACACCACATTGACAGTACATCTGTTATTTGAACCATGTGAAAATAGCACTTTTATTCTCTCTCCTGACGTGCGGTAAGACAATGCAACATAAAGTTGCCCATGTGAGTAATAATATTATAGTTAAGTGATCAAAATATTGTGAAGTCAGAAGTCAATGAATTTGTGCTGTCTGTAAAGTATTGTTATGTCCTATATGCATGTTTGACTTGCTGCTCAGTTGTTCTTAATAAGTGTAAAAAGTTTTCAATGTGGCTACAATTTTCACTGTGTTCACTACTGCTGTTCCTATGTTGCCACAAAAACCACGTGAATGAACCTAAGCACAATAACCGATGCAACATGGCTTACACATAGCATTTGGGACCACTGTCCCCTTTGTTTTAGATAATATAGTTAAGTGGTCAAAGTTTTGCTAAGTCAGAAGTCAGTGAACTTGTGCTGTGTGTAAAGGTCTGTAAAGTATTGTTAAATGTTTGCCTGCTCAGTCATTAAATCCCAGTCAAAATAACAAAATAGCTAAAATTTTGTACTATTTGTACCATTTATATCCATAAAAAAACAATTAAAAAACAATTTCACGCAGTTACAGTCAGTAGTCTAGAACCTGACATCAGTCCATTGTTCCAACTCGACCAGACACAAGATAACAGAATATAGTGTGATTGTGCTGCACTCTGTTATCTTGTGTCTTGCATATCAATGGCCTCTATTCACCCTCATAAAGAATTCTATTGTGACTATTTCATTCAATACAAAGGCACACAATAGAAGGTTTCTGAGAAGACTTACTACAACCACAAGAAATATTGCAGCTTAATTATTTCTGAATCAATACAAAACACGATCAGAGAACACACCATCGCATTGGGATGGCAGCTACGAGAACAACCAGGATCATCTTTACCTACAAGGCATCAAAGAAAGTGTAAACAAGTTAGACTTCAAGATGACCTGGGAGCAAATCATGATTCCTAAGCTAGAAATGGCGGTATTTACATGCACAAGGATACAGAAGTGTGTACTACTACTATTGCATTTTATTGTGTAAATATTTTTAACTCATTTCTATATTCTCACTAGCCTGTACACAACAATCAGGCTCAAAAAGACACAAAATCAAATCAGGCTCAAAAAAACACAAAATCAAATCAAAATCACCCCTAGTCATCTCAAAGCACTCCTCAAGGTCCTCCTGCTCAAGATCCACCACAAAACCCCAAGAAATTCATCCAGTTGTGCAAGGACTTGATAAAAGCAACCTTGAAAGGCTTTTCAGCCTTAACAAACTAGACAACATCAAAATGACCATGTCCTTTATCAACACAATCAAGAATGAGACACTTGACAACCACCAAACAAACATGGATCCAGAAACAATACTATGTCTGTTATATCCCCCTGGAGCACCGTGCAAACTTGAAGGCCCAGAGGAAAACTTTGTGATTGAGCTGTTCCTAGTAACAACAAGTACATCAAAATATATCTACAATAAAGTCCAGGACACTTACAATTGCAGGTATCCTTAAGATGAGGATCAAGTCCCCTCATATCATTGCATCAAATATTGCATAGCTGAACTCACAAGTGTCGAATCCATAATTCACAATATGTGTCCTAATTCATGTATTGCTTATATAGGCCCCTTCACCAATCTCAATAAATATTCCAAGTGCTTCACATCCTGTTATGATCAACAAATTCTCAAATGGAGCAAAGGAAAAAAACTAGTGTTGACCCAACAGTTCCATACCATGCCCATTGGATCCCAGATACAGGCACTTTGGTGAGATAAAACTAGTGCAGAAAATATGCGACATTATGAGAAAGCAATCGCAAAAATTGTCGAAGAGACCTGACACAGTGGTGGTGATTCTCCTAACAAATATTACAATTTTTCACTGGGAGCAACTGTTACGATAACACAATTTTCGGACCTTCAAATTTTATTCTCCTCTTTAACTTTCCTTTGTAGTTTTCACACCCTGTGCCATGAGGCACTTTCCATTATTGTTCAAACTCCACTTCTTGTTGCTGCACTGCCTTTTCTATTTTTAGATACAAGTTTCTCACACAGTGGAGCTGGTCACACGGGCTGTGCCCCATGACATCATCAGTCACTGCCTCCATCAACTGTACAATATACATGTACAAACAAACTGTAGTAGTATATATACCCCAATAGATCAAGAAGACTCCTCAGCGAGTCCTCCTGTTGTTTACCCATAACAAACTCGATCCTATCCTAAGGATAACCACTCCCCTCACTACCTTTACAGCTTTGTCTGAGTTGTGCGCCAGAGTATACAAACTCTTGGTTGTTACAGCAACTACATCTGTGCTGTGCAAGACAGCCACATTCAATCTGATGACACATTTTTGATGTTTTCTATGGACAGTGCTCAAAAGCAAACCATCTGACTGCTGGATGTACATGTGGATGATATTTGACATCTCTCCTGACAGACACTACAAAAAAAATATGTAATTCTGGGCTGTATCATCCCAGGGCCCAACAAACCAGTCAATATTAATTCATTCCTGTCTATAGGATTCCATCACTTATCAGCAATCCAAAAACAAGGTCTTTGTGTGTGGAATGCATCTCAAGGCTGCATATTTACCTCAAGGCCTTTTCTCACTTTTGCAACTGCAGATGGCCCGGAAATAGTCTATCTAAATGGCCTGGTAGGACACAATAAAAAGCATGGGTGTTGCCTGTCTTGTGGGCTTCAAAGGAAACCACAAGCCAGGAGGCACCCACTACTGTCCAGCTCTACTCAAACCATTAGGGAGTTATAACGTCAAAGAATGCAGTCATGATGACATAGATCCGCATGACCTGCCTGATTTGAATGACTCTCTGACTTTTTTTCCAGATATGTATTGCCAAGAACTTATCCAAATTATGCAAGCTTAAAATAGAATGCAATATTGAGAGCTCTGTCTTGACACTGGATTTAGCAGGCCAAGCATCTTTTTGGGTCTTCCATTAAGAAAAATCCCTGGCCTACCAAACTTGTTTGAATCAGATATCATGCACTTGATATCCCTCAACATTCTGGACCTTTTAATTCCTTTTTGGCATGGAGCTTTCAAATGTGATGCTATGGATAACAAACTTGATTAGATAGGCAGTTTTACAAGATGATATATAGACCCAACATGGCCAAGCAGTTGCTGATGCTGCACAACACCTCCCAGAATCCTTCAACCACCTTCCTCAAGACCCAGCAAAAAAAATATCTAGCAGCTACAAATCTTGGGAATACATGCTCTACATTTATAGTCTTGCTCCTACATTGTCGTATAATATCTTACTATTTGCCTACTGGACCAGCTTCTGCAAGTTAATTTATGCTGTCTGATTGATGCGCCAGCATAAAATCAAATTACAAGATATCCTAGATGTGAGTAAACTTTTAACTAAATTTGTTGTGGAGTTTGAGAAATTACACTACCAGAAAAAACTCTCTCTCCTTCATTTTTTACGCCCTGCAGTTCATTCTCTCCTACACATTGTCATTGCTTCCAAGTTTATTTGTGCGGGTCCAGCTATCTGTTCATCCCAATAGACCATGGAGCACATTATTGGCAACTTTGGACAGGAAATCCGGCAATATTCAAATCCATATGCCAACTTATCTCAGAGGGCCATCATCCGTGTGCAAGTCAATGCTCTGAAAGCATTTACTCCTGATCTTATCCTCCTCAAACTCTTTGCTATTGACCTCATTTTTATCTTTGTATACTGAAAACAGATCAATGTCTAATGTCTTTGCAGACTGATGTGACTGATTTTTCACCATTACCACAGCCATGATGATCTTGGAACGGGCACAATAGGACACAGCCTTCATATCTGCATAGTTTCCATGACTTTTAAGACCTTGGTCTAGGCACAAACACATGAAACCTGCTTATGAACCCACTTACAAGTCCTGGTATGAATGGCTTTGGAAATATTTTCATTCTGATGTATTCTATGAGGACCAGGACAGATACATTCAATAGTCAATATAATACCAGTATCCCTCAGATTCCATTGCACCTCCACCAACAAGTACTATAACATCTGGGGGGGGTCAAGGCCAACATAAACTTAATATTAGCTAAATACAAAGGTTTAAAGTACATCTAATCTAATCTCATCTTATCACATGCTAAAAATATATTCATGCAAAGGTTTCCCAAAACTCAAATTTTTGGACTGAGGAAGAATAGAAGGCTGTAACTGAAGCACAAAAAAACAAACCTGAGGATGTGGAACAACCTGCTAACCCTGGGAAGATTAGACACTCTTAAATTGCCCAAGGTATGAACATCAGGATGTTACATGTGGAAGATATTGATGGGGTGCCAATTGATGGGTTCCAGTTGCGTAATATTTGCCAATGGCTGCAAGAGTTTTTCATGGCCCTGAAGAAGGCAGGTACCACAAAAAATGGTCTGGAGCTGGCACAGTGAATCAAAATAAATGCTCCAAAGGGCTTCTGGCAGCATAGCCAGAGATGAGGTGGTGTAAAGTGAACTGGAGAATCCACAAGACCTGCTCAGAAACTTACTCAGGATGGTATAGATGGCAAAATGAGGGCAAATCCAAGGTTAAGACCAAAAATAATGACAATAATGACAGTAAAAAATGCAAGTGCAATGATCTGGAATTGTCAGATGAATTTCCCATTGCTGATGATCACATAAGCAAGATTGAAAGGATACCAATGATTGCAAATTAGTGATCAGCACCTTGGATCCTATCTACTCTACCAATTAAGGCAACCACATTAGTTCCTGAGGAAGTAGTCCTGAAGCTATTCAAACTACATCTGCTTGGCAGTCTGCAGGTAGTGCACCTGCATCACAGGCTCTCATAATCAGAGTGGAATATTCAGTTTTATTGATTCATTCTAGCTAACATAGTTTACAGTTGATAAATCTATTAGCAAGCCTTTGTAGCAAGCTAATCAAGATGATGGCGACCATGTCATCCATTGATTCCAATTTGGTCAACTCAAGCACCATTTTGTCAAAGGTTTCTGAGGCAGTAAAACCTAAGCTATCCAGAAGCAAAGTAAAAAAAGCCAAGCTCCTGACTGTGTTGTCTACCACTACTCCCAAGTGAGTGATATTTCTGTCTTTGTTAAAATACTCATAGTATATTCTTCTTTTCACAGAAATTTGTTCACTGAGGATTGGCCCAACAAGAATACTGGTGGACTAAAATCCCATTTCAAGGCCTTTTTCAAATATTTACCCTTACAGGAGTGGACATGCTTTTTTTATCTAGACACTGGAAGCTAGTGTTCATGCCAAGCAAGGTTTACTTTTATTAGGATTGGTTATATTATAGAGGTATTATTTTTGTTTTGGCAGGACTTTTTCTAATTCACTCTCTTTTTTATTCTCTTTTGGTAAAATTTGTTTGTTTGTTGTGCAATTTGTTTACTTTTGATGTAATTCTTTTTATCTCGGTTGCTTGTGCATTGCATTTCAGTAAGATTCAGTGTCTTTGTTTGTAATTCAATTTTTTTTTAAAATTCAACAAGAATGGTTTTAAACATTGTTTCTATAATTCAATAAGTAAGAAATCAAATTGTTGGGGAAAATTGTGGTTTCCAACTGGTGTTGAATGTTCTCATAAGCGTGAGCATGAGAATCTTCAATGTGCTACAATCTTCACTGCATTCATTACTACTGTACTACTGCACTGTTTCTGTGTTGCCACATAGTATAGTAATAACCTTCTGCCTTAGACAGGGCATTATTACCTGATAATATTACTATATAGATGGGGCCAGCAGAGTCTGGCGGAGTGTACCAGCCGGGCCTTGATAGACATGATATTATTGTACCTGTCCTAGATGACCCGACTGGGTCACGGGACAACAAGTGGAGAAGAATGCAATAGGTTTCTGAGATGAAGTGAGGTCTTACCTCTACTCTTGATAAATATCTGAGCTATTATTAAATCTTGACAATTCTGCCTTATAAGGTCCTGATAGTTTTGAGACATCCATGAGACATCTTTAGATATACATTTACATATAGCAATACATTTATCTACTTGAATTTTGGTATACCCAGGTCAAAGATATTTGTCTCTGTGCTCTCTTTTACTTCCTCTGTTACAGATGGAGCACTGACACTAAAAACAAGCCCTCCTTTTCCACTATTATCCTGGTTTGAATGTTCAGGCATTAGTGGTGTTGAATTTTCAGCTTTTGATGATGTCCTTTGTACATGAGGGACCCCTATGTCGAAGACTGAGGGCCCGGGCATCCCTGATTTTGTGCTCCTGGGGTTGTTGTGATTAGGTCTCCTGCATGGCACCCCAATATCAAAGATATTATTTGTAAGAGTGGGTGCTGGGGAGAGATCTGAGGAGGGCCCCGGGGAGCATTTAGAGGAATCTGGGGAGCATTTGGATGAGTCAGACCACCCCAGGGATGGCAAATCGTCTGATAAGCCAGTTGACTTACTTGAAATTGCTGATGAAATGTATATCAGACCTTTTAAGTACAAGTAAATGTATGAACTTAATATTTATGGTTGTTGAGTCATATATAGTGAGTAACATGGGTAAATCTGAAGAGAAAATATTTCAAGATGGTGGTGGAGTAATATTTGAGATGATGGGACATACCTGGGGATAGTTCCTGGGCACTGGATTTGCGCTGGGGTGTTGGCATTTGCAACATTTCTGGTGTTTGATTGTGAAAAATACAAGTCCAACTTTTATCATGTGCATTTTTCTTGGAATTCCCACGGGCACAAATTGTGGCACCAGATTCATGTATAGTGTGTCTGAACCCTTTAACATCTCAGTCACTCAGACAATACTACCCTGCACCACATCTTCCATCACAATCCCAACCAAAAACACCACTCCAAATGTCTTTTTCCACCCAAAAAAGATCTACAAAGCCAATGAGTGCATCAGGATGGCCATTATTTACTGGCCCCGGGTTCTTGTCCAATACAGGGACCAGTATGTGGAGATGCTGATGGAGGAAGTAGCACTTCAGGCAGCCAAAAAATTGGGGCTCTTAGTTTGATCATCCTCACCAAAAGGTTGGGGCTAAAATCCCCCTTTTCATAGTCTACCTATGGCCATTAGGGACCAGACCTATTTGACATGGGACAGTCCCATCTATTTACATAGGTCCTGTCCCTATACATAGGAATATCCCTTTATACAGTGTGTTATCTGTAATCACTTATTTTATTTTCTCATAATTATATCCCAAAAACACACCTACTCTATTATCTTTACATTTTGTAATTCTCATTAGCACACATAATCTAATAATATTTTGTCCCACCATCTTTCTGTGAAAGCTGTGGGAAATAGTTGATGAAAGCAAGATTAGTCCAGCAGGTGATACTGTCTTAACAAACTGGACAAATGCAACATGAATAAATTTACTTATATCTGGTTTCTAGTAGATCTTGAATAACTTGAATTTCATTGACAATAAGAAATTAGGCCATATAACTATCTCTTATCTAAAGGCAGAATATGGTAAACTACCTAAATAACTTTTCAACAAGTTTTTGACATTTAGTCTTGTTACTTGGTGAATACATAAATGTAGTTCACCTATATTGTCTTGTTTGTTTCTCTCTACTTGTTAACTCATCAGTTAAAATCCAACACTATTTTAAATTTTATCCCAAGTGAAGAAAGAGCCTATGCTATACCATGTATTAAATTATATATTCTCCCACATGTATAAAAGTCTCATTCTACATGCACTATAACATTGTCCCACATGTATAGAGTAATGTCTTATCCCATATCACTGTGGGGATCAACTTATATAAGCTGGGCTTATATGCTGAAAATATTCAATTTTAGCTTTTTTCAGCCAATCCAAACACAGATATCCAATATCTTCAGCATATATATATAAGCTGAGCTCATATAAGTCGGTCCCCACAGTGTATGTACTTAAGTTCCATCTTATGTATGTTTAGGTCTAGAATAAAGTCTTATGAGGTGATATGTTTGAGGTACTAATTATGAGACCATGTTACCTAGGCAGAGTTCATATTGTTAGGGAGGACTATGGAGGGCACCATTGTGTAGTTAGAATGTCATATCTTCAATTGGGGAGAACCATAGAAAAGTCCTATGTGGATTTGGAAGATCTGAATATGCTTAGCAAAAGTTATACAACCATACAGCCACATAAAATCAAAATTTCATTAATTATCCCTTTTCCAAGATTTCCAAGCCAACTAAGCATCTAAGTGACAAATAAGAGAGTTATTTATTGCATATATTAGTGTCTTAGTATCAAACTAGTCTAATATATACTAATATCTGGGATGTGACCTATATAACTACCCCATATACATAGCTAAATCCACTTGGGATAACTTCAATAAGCCTAACTTGAAATGGCCTGTCCCATATTAGATTTTAGCATGTGACCTCTAAGTGTCACCTGACCACAGGGAGTGCATAAAAGCAAAGTGGACCAACTGGGGATTGAGCCCAGGACCTCTACCTATATATAGTGGTGCTTTACCAACTGAGCTACCAGCCTTTGTCCAATACCAACTCAGGATGTATGTTGTCTAACAAGGCTAATAGGATTTGACCTTGACTATTCTAATATCCTAACCTTTACTTGTCAGCTTTGATTATCTAGTAAAGTCCAATGGCTTAGCACTTGGGAGCTAATAGGCACTAATAGTGAGTGAAGAATGAGGATTTTAGCAATGACAAAGACACTGGTGGAGAACAAATAGAAAGAACTTATCTGAGTGAGAACATTTTGCAGATGACTAATAGTTTCATCAACCTGACTGGCAAGAAAAGCAGTTTAAGCAAAAAAAATGCTGTCCTAGTTTGAAATTAGTGATAAGTTACAGCTGATTTGGAAAACGTTGGCTGCGCCAACTTTGTCTCTTGCGTCTGTTCTAGCTTAGTAATATGATCTGAATTCCAAAAAAGGAAATAAAGTGGAATCTCTAGTATATACTATACTGTGCTGCAGCCTGCAGTCTAGCATGTTCCTTGTAGTATAAAGTCCCTACTCTTTGCTAATGAGAATCTCGTCACATTGTTAGGTGCTGCCACTGCCACTCTTTAGAAATGATTCCTTACACTCAAGAACAAAGCTCCCTGCTGCCGCCATGTCATGATCTTGCTCCAAGGTTGTAAGTGCCGTTTTACCCTTCTCATTTTGTGAATCATTGACTTACAAGCTAGTAATAGTGATCCTAACACCATCCCTCCCATCTCTATCCTCCAAGATATGCCCAACAGTGAGGATAACCTGGATGAGGCCAATATTCAAGCCATCTACCCACCATATCCGCTGGTGCATAGGCCACCAATCAAACCCGCTGTTCTGCCAATCAAACTGGCCATTCTCATCCCTCTACCCCCTACTCCTGCTCCAGCCCCTGTCCGTTGCACAGGCCACTCAGATTGAAGGCAAGGACGAGTATGATTAGGAAGTTGAGGGTGGACTGACTACGGAAAAAGTGATTATAGTCTGGTGTACTAGTTTAGCATACTCATCACAATGTTTCAGTGGAAGACAGACAACGAACTAGAGGATTTAGCTAGTAAAATACTGAACAAATAAAAGCCTGGCTTGTGCGTTATGCATAAGAGCATCGCATGTTTCCACCACCGGGCCAGTGACCTACATTTTGAACTGACATACCCCCACTGTATGGTTTGGGCCGCTGCTATATTGAAAGGTGATGCTACACTTGAAAAAATCCCTACTGGATCACTGTTGTTCAAAGCAAAACAAGCATTGAAGGTACATACCTTGACAGAAAAGAGGCCCCCCCATCTCCTGCTGCAAAAGCCACCACCGCACCACTCCCATCCTCAATGCAATTTCCCTACTTCAATCCATCTGCTAATCCTCTTGCATTCTCTCCATTTGTTGGTTACAACCCTCTAACCACTTTTCCAATGGGATTTGGTATGCCAATGGGTGGAATGTGTGTGGGAATGGGTGTGGGAATGGGTGCAGGAATGTGCATTAGTCCAGGAATGAGTATGGGCATGGGTATGCATGGTGTAGAGTCGCATTTTGTCAGATCCAGCCCACAAAAAGAAGAAATTGAAGAAACAAACCATTTGTCAACCCCACTAATCGAATCTTGCAGCCTCTTGTTGTTTTGTGAGCCGTATAAGCTTGGTGAAGATGTCAAAAGTAGCTTGGATTGGTTGGGTTTCATGGTGGGAGACAATCTGGAGGCTGTTACAGAAAAACAGCATAGGGAAGCAGGATTCAAGCCTCTCGCATGGGCTCGTATTTTGAAGGCCTACCATAGATATAAGAAAAATCACCATATTTAGTCTTACATACACTCATTTACACCCGTAATCGGACAATACAACATTGTTTTGTGCATTTTTACACAGAAAATGGCCAACATACACTAAAATACAATTTCTATATTATATCCGGAGTGCATAAACCACTCTTGAGCCTTGTCAACTGTCACAGTATGTACAGCCTCAAGCAAAGCGACTTTGGGATACTCGTGTTCTTGAATGCAAACATAGTTACAGCGGATCCAGCTCTTGACTAAAAAAACCAAGTTTTAGCCTAAAACGCAAGCTAAAAAGAGAAAATTGTACCACAACTAAAGCTCTCTTCAATTGAATTCAAGTCTGGGGAGTATGGCAGCAAAAAGATCAACACACACCCTACACTTTCTACAACTTCACGGACAGCGTTCATTTTGTGTATTGCACAGTTGTCGAGTATAATGATGATTTTTTCTTGAGGATATGGGTTCATCACAGGCAGCTGTAACACGTTAGAATGATGAGCATAAATATAAACAAAGAAAATATACCACATCATTTACAATAAAACCAAAAAAATCCTCACCATTGACAGAACCGTGGACTACGTTCATGGCCAGATATCTGTTAAGTGTGAGTGCTGCTACTAAGCTGCAGTGTTCTCCCCAAAAAAAATTAGCCTGAACCGCAGCACGACAACCTTTGGGCACCCATCTGTAGTGTTGATAAATTGTCCGGTCATCCTTGCTGGTTTTGTCAATCATGGCGAACTGGCTGGCTGTAAAGTGTGTATTGATGTCCTTCAACCACTCCTCCCTCCAATTGTTATCCCTTTCTGCTGCTGCTTTTTGTAGAACCTTATAAGTTAACCCTGCATCTCTAATATGTTTGAAAAGAGCGGTCTTCAATATGTGCACATCATGTGCAAGGGCTAACCAGTCTTGAATTTTGTCCAGTTACATCTCTGGGGTGTCTTCAAGCAGTGAATATATCCTCTTGGTTTGGTTTGCACCAAGGATATATGGGCGGCCTTGAGTGGGGTACATAGGAGGTTCTACAGAGCCAAATGCTTCTTGATTGGCCTGCCAGTGGCAAAGGGAACACTCAAAGATGCCAAAAATGTTGCAGATGTTGGATGAGATGTAGTTATGCTCTATTAACCAAAGAGTGCGCTCCTTGATATCCTTGCTGATCTGTCTGTAGGGCATGGTAGTCAATAGCAAAGTGTTATTGATGGGTTACATGTTTGCAGCTGCTGAGATTCCACGTTGTTTTCATTTTTGGAATTCAGATCATATTACTAAGCTAGAACAGACACGAGAGAAAAAGTTGGTGCAGCCAATGTTTTCCGAATCAGCTGTAATATTAAACTGAAACTGTGGTTTCTATAAATTTTATAAACCAGATTAGGGCTTAACTAATAATAACTAAATAAAACCCATCTATAATCAAACTGTGGCAACACTATAAACAATACCCTGGAGCCAACAACAATACAAAATTCACCATTTTAAGAAAGCTATCATTTTAAATGTATAAATACCAAGAAATATACACCAAAACCATAGCATTTGGATCCTCAAAGAACAAGTCCACAATTACAGAAGTTGAGGATCTTACTGTAACAACCAAGAGTTAGTTACTCTGGTGCACACAAGAACACACTATAAAGGTAGTGATGAGGGAGTGGTTACCCCTTAAGCTGCAGAGAGTTTGTTGGTTAACAACAGGAGGACTCACTGAGGAGTCTCCTGGATCTATTGGGGTATATATACTAATACAGAGTGTTTGTACTTATGTACTGTACAGTTGATAAAGTCAGTGGCTGATGATGACATGGGGTCTAGCCCACATGACCAGCTCCACTGTGTGAGAGAGTTGTATCCAAAAATAAGAAGAAGGCAATGCGGCGCGAGAAAGAGGACTTTGAACAAAAAGGGGAAGTGCCGCGTGACACCATGTGTGAAAGCTAAAGTATACAAGGTTAAAGCAGAGAATGAAAATGAAGAAAAGGTCTGAAAATTGTGTTATCGTAACACTACCCCCCTTCTAAGGCTTGACTTCCAGGCGAGACCAAATACCGGAGGTGGTAGTTAAATTTTTGGGCATAGGTTGAAAAAGGGAATTAAAAAGTTGAGTCCATGCCTCTAAGCTTTGTGGGAGCTGAGGGGTTTTTAGAATAAAATTCACAAACAGTGTTGCGGGAATTGTCCAGATGGGTTTCTGGTTCCCACATTCTGTCCTCGTCTCCATAGCCCTTCCATAGGACTAGGAATTCTAGTTTTCCACGCTTTAAGTGTGCGTCCATCACCTGTTCGACTTTGAACTCTTCTTCACCTTCCTGGGTGACTACAACCGGTCCGGGCCGATCTACGCGCTGTCCCGGCAGCGGCCCTTTGTAAGGTTTCACATGGCTAATATTGACCGTGGGTACTACCTTCATTCGTTTTGGGAGTTCCAGCTCCACCGCATTAGGTTTGACTTCGTTAATCTGGTAAGGATCAATCCACTTTTTGGTCAGTTTTCTAGACTGCCAATCTTTTAACTTTAAGTGGTCGGTATCCAACCAGACCAGGTCACCGACTTTGTAGTCAGGGGCCTTAGTGCGTCTACGCTCTGCCCTGCTTTTCATCTGCTCTGCAGTTTTGAATAGCGCCTTGCGTGTTTCGTCCAAGACAGATTTCATGTCCTTGGCCATGTTCTCAGCAGCCTCGTTCTTGCTTTTGCCAGGTTCTACACCCCTTCTGGGGAGGTACAATCTAGTAACCTTGAATAGTGCCTTTCCTGTAGCTGATGACTGTTTGATATTATATGAGAACTGGGCTATTTTTAGCCACTTGGCCCAATCCATCTGCCTGTCATTAATAAATATCCAGAGATATTGTTTCAACTCCTGGTTGAGTCTCTCCGTTTGTCCATCAGTCTGCGGATGGAACACCGTTGATAATTTAGGTTTGATGCCTAGCATCCGGCATAATTATTTCGTAAATTTGCTAGCAAATTGTGGCCCTCTATCGGAGATAACCGTTTCTGGTAACCTATGGATAGACCATACAAAATCTTTGAATATATCTGCCATACCAGTGGCGGTAATGGTTTTGTTGGTGGGAATGAATACTACTTCTTTGGAGAAGCGATCTACTACCACCATTACTGAATCATACCCATTCGACTCAGGCAGATCCATTGTGAAATCAACCAATATATCCTGCCAGGGACCAGCTGGTATCGGATTTGTCATAAGTTTACCAGCCGGCGGTTGATGAGAATTTTTAGCCATGGTGCATCTCAGACAGGATTTTATGTATTCCTGTACGTCTTTGACCATGCCAGGCCACATATAGTTTCTGGAGATTAACTCCATTGTTTGTTGCCACCCAGGGTGCCCAGCCACTGGAGTGTCATGATGTCTATCTATTGCCTTGATCCTTGTGGACTCAGGCACATAGATTTTGTTTTTAAAATGGAAGAGCCCGTCTTCCCATAAATAGTTTTCATTGCCATCAAGGTGCGCCTTCTCTTCTGAGGAGATGTCTTTCTTGAAGACTTCCAGAAGATCGGAATCCTGCCTGATTCTAACATTGGCAACCCTTGATTGATCTATCAGGGTAACACCTTTGTTGTCATCTTCGATGCCGTTGGCATGATCCTCTCTTCTGGACAAAGTGTCCGCTTTCCCCATAGAGCTTCCAGGCTTATGAATTAATTTATAATTAAACCTTGACAAGTATACCACGTAGCAGGCCTGTCTTCGGTTCAAGTCTTGAGCCGTCGTAAAATACTCCAGATTCTTATGATCGGTCCAAATTTCAAATTGGTGTCTAGCACCTTCGAAGTAGTGCCGCCAGTGCTCTGAAGCTCTAATGATAACTAGCATCTCTTTGTCGTAAATTTGATAGTTGCGCTCTGTAGGCAACAAACTATGTGATAAATAAGCACAAGGCCTCCAAAGATTGTCAGGGCATTTAATTGACAAAACAGCCCCAGTAGCAAAATCAGAAGAGTCGGTTTCTAGCCGGAACTCTTTGGCTAATTCTGGAAATGCTAATATGGGCGCTGTTGTAAATGCCTGTTTAAGCTTATCAAAAGCTTCTTGTTCTTTGGCGCCCCAGTGCCAAACAATATCCTTTTTAGTGAGATTGTTCAATGGTCTCGTGATTTTTGCGAAGTTTTCAATAAACCTTTGGTAGAAATTTCCCAAGCCAAGGAAGGCCCTAACTCCCTTGACGCGAGTAGGTTCTGGCCAGTCCAATATAGCTTGAACTTTCTCAGGATCCATTCTGATTCTGTTCTGGCCTATGATCATACCGAGGAAGTCTACTTCCTTCACCTTAAAATTACATTTTTTGGGTTTGATGAATATGTCCCATTCCTGTAAGCATTGAAGGACTTCTTGCACGATCCTGTCATGCTCAGCCTCACAGATCTCTTTTTGGAATAAATACGTGCGCATCAACACACACTTTGGGATTTTGGGAAAGGGTAACTCCAACAAAGAAGAAGAGGTATCGAAAGTTACATGTTTTTCTATTTTATTTTTACCAGAATCAAGCACCCTATTGTTTGTCTCGCCGGGGCCACACTCCAAGGGAGATGCTGGTGCAGCGATAGTATCATAAATATTACAGTCACAATGCTTCATACAAGTACATATTTCAGATAACAAATTTAGAAATCTATTTACAAATTGGGGAGCCATCCCCTTCTTTCCATTATTGCTCGTGCAACACCCCGGAGCAGGGGCCACCTTGTTGTGGTTTACTTCATTGTTCATAGGAGCGAAGGCACCCAAGTGACCTAAGCTCCGAACTCTTTTCCCTGAGCTTTCATTTCATTGACTTGTTGGTCATAGAAGAAAGCTCGGATTTTGTTGTACGAACGACCGGCCAGAGTATTGAGCCAATTGTCCGGTTTTTTAGCTTCTAATTGGCGTGCCTGGCGCCCTTGATTATTTTTTTGTTGGGCGGCCTGCGCCCTGTTTCTGCAATCTCGGGACATATGTCCCTCTTGGCCACAGTTGTAACAGTTGCCCTTGAATCTGTGCATCTGTCTGCCTTGGACCACACCAATATCCATAGGGGCACCCTGTCCTGGCTGCAGCCCGAATGGCTTGAACCCGTGAGAGTGATTATGATGGTTTGATGACCCAGGGTGCCTCTGGGATTGGTTGTTTTTGGTGGTCTTGCCACTTTGGTGCATTTTGTAGAGCTCTATGGCCCTACCTATTTTTCGAACCTCCTCTGCTGCTTGAGAGAGATTCTTATTTCTCATATCCTGCAGATAAAGCTGTTCTGCAATGTGGGGGTTCACATTGCGTTCCAGCAGCTCTACTGCATGTTCATTGCCAAGACCCCCTTGGATGGAGAGGGCCAGGAACCGGGTAACAAAGTCATCCGTCCTCATGTTTCCTTGTTTGAAGGTACAGATTTGCTGACGCGCCCAGTCACGCTCAGCTTGGGGTTTGAAGTATTTTTCGATCTCAACTTTGAGATCATCCCGGGTAGGCCACACTCCTGCTGTGTAGCACTCCTGCATTCTTACTTGGGCATATCAGCCCGCCACAGGTCCTTTCAGTCTTAACAGCACAGCCGTCGCTATTTCAAAATCATCAGCAAACGTGTCCCAGTTTGCTTTGATCCACCATTTGGCAAATCACACCCTATCTCCTTTGAAAGCGCCGGGGTCAGCGACGATCTCGACTTTCTTGTTGAACTTTCGCTCAACCGTAGATTCTGCTGCTGGGGCAGCCTGAATCTTGGCGAGCTGATTTGTTAACGCCTGAAACTGTGCACGCATGTTGTGCAGCAGACTGTTCATATCCGGTTGCAACGACATGTCGACTTGTTCTCTTTGGTAATGTAAAAAAAAGGTAACTGGGGGTCCCCGCTTGCTATTTGCAGATAAACCTCTTCCCAGCTGAGTATCGGATCTCAATCTCCGACTACTCACACTATAGTATTTGAAAAAAAGTATATAAAAGGTATTCATAATAAACCCTATTCCGAACGGTTGTCAGGGGGTGGTCCGCTTGTTATTAAGCTGTCAACCCTTCTCCAGACTGGCGGAGGCAAGTGCCTGGCCTGGTCAGAGGAAAGAGAAAGTGAAGTTTTGTATGTAATTCTAATCAACAGCGGTTCCACACCGACTGCTGAGCTAAGTACTCCCCTTAACGCTGGGGGCTGCGTATCAAAGGTATTGTTTCTTCTCCCAAAGCACTACAAGGCCGTCGCAAAGAGCGCACCTATCTGCTATGCGGGATATTCCCAAACAATAACCAAATCTCCTTCACCCTGGAGTCCAGGTGCCCAGTGGGACTTTTTGCACAACGTGCGATAGAGTAGAAGAGCGAGTCTTAATGTAACAACCAAGAGTTAGTTACTCTGGTGCACACAGGAACACACTATAAAGGTAGTGATGAGGGAGTGGTTACCCCTTAAACTGCAGAGAGTTTGTTGGTATACAACAAGAGGACTCGCTGAGGAGTCTCCTTCATCTATTGGGGTATTTATACTAATACAGAGTGTTTGTACCTATGTACTGTACAGTTAATAAAAGCAGTGGCTGATGATGTCAGAGGGCACAGCCGGTGTGACCAGCTCCACTGCGTGAGAGAGTTTGTGTCTAAAAGAAGAATAAAGGCAGCGCTGCGCGAGAAGGTGGAGTTAGAACGAAAAAGGAAAGTGCCGCATGGCACGGAGTGTGAGCTATAGTAAAAGGTTAAAGCAGAGAATGAAAATTAAAGGAAAGGTCCGAAAATTGTGTTATCGTAACAGGAAACCTGACCTATTGGCAGAAAAGAACACTTATGTAGATGCTGACTCTACATTTGAAGCACTTCACTTGTCATGGTACAACTGTCACTGTACCAAGGTAAAGTAATTCCTTACTATATGTCCACTTAATGCTGATCCTTTACAGGGTCACAAAGCCCTATCTGGTGTGCCACCGTCTATGCTTGACAAAGTGGGCTGCAAATGTACCAATCACAGCCAGATGATCCCCTATATATCCAAGGACGTCAATAATAACCAGGACTTATTTCAGTCCCTCAAAGTTGTCTTTGAAGAACTGTTTAACTGGATACATTGTATTGTGAGTGGTACTCCCTCTTTATTCACAGCTATCTCATCATTGTATCAGATGCAAACCCACCTGCCTGAAGAGTGTCAGATGCTTGAGCAAGTTGCATCTATCTTACCAGGAAACCATTGCTCCCCAGCCGCCCCCTTCCTGTTAATTGTCATCAACATCAACATGCAAACAAAGGCTCACTGAGATAGCAAGGATCAGGAGCTTTGTCTTGTTCTCCCCATTAGAACACTTAAGGGGGCTGCTCTTGCCATGGTTGAGACAGGCCTTTTGAGCTGAACCATGGGTACTTTGCAATTTTCAGGTCGTCTGTATTGTAACACCCAAGCAGCTCAGAAAGAGGCATTGGAAGCCAAACATCAAGGTAACATATATATTCTGGTTTGGTAAAAGTATATTGATCTCCCCTCTCAGAGATAAGAAAAAGGGCAGCTGTTGTAATGGAAGAAGAGGATAATTACGACTATGATGATGACCCAGTTATGCCACTAAACCCTCCTAGAAAAAGACAAGCCATGGACTCAGACCATGATTCCGATGAGGATGATTTTCAAGGGATCCTAACTCAGAAAGCACCTACAGGGGATAATGATGAGTATTACGAGGATGAGGAAGCCAGAGCAAAAAGTAAGCAATCATTATTTCTAGACAAAAATACTAATATAAAATTGTTATTAAAGATTCTGATAACAAGGGAAAAGATGGACCAATTCTGGATGAGCAAGTATGTCTCTAAATTAGTATCTCTTACATCCATAGAGCTAACAGCTTGTTTTAGCCCAATTTCAGACCCATTGTTGGACAGGAAAAGGCTAAATCATTAGTGTACTCCTCTTTTTTGTAGTTTTTCCAGAAAATCTTCCACGCCTTCATCCAGGATGTCTTCAACTTCTACTTCTATCTTGACACCTACAGCTGTCTCTTTACTGTCAAAATTTGGGAAAAGACGTAGAATCACCCTGTATATGTTTCCTAGTTCTTTTGTGGACCTTGCTACAGCTGGGCATGCTACAATGAGATTATACATTGCAACTCAAGAATTTTCTGAAATTGTTCAGGTTTGATCTAGTAAGTAGTAAACTCAGACTTCGAGAGAAGATCTGATATATTCAAAAGAATGTACCTAGTCAGTAGTAAACTGGAAATAAGGCATAAGCTAAGTACTCGTAGGTTTAATCATAAAAGTGTCTCACCTCAGACTTCGAGAGAAGATCTGAGGTGTCTGCCTGACAATGACAGCATATAACGGAACCAAAAAATTAATGCGGTATATTAGGTGCACAGGCCACCCCAACTACTGGACCTTCCCAGTTTGGCACCTGCACCACTACTTGTCTTCCTACTACGCCATATGAGGCTTGTATCTCTATTATTCTTCCAACACTCCCCCTCAAGCTGTACGAAGTCCCAGCACGCTAGCAAAATGTTTGACTTTAGCAGAGGGGAAGGCTTTTGTGAGTATGTCCGCCATCATATCTTCGGTTGGGCAATAATTAATTTCGATCTTTCCGTCTTCTATAGCATGTCGAATAAAATGATATTAGATATCAATATGCTTGGTACGTACGTGATACTAGCTATCCTTTGATAATGTGATTGCTGATTGATTATCACATCACAATTCTGTCAGGGGCAGGTCCTTGTCAAATAGTTCACTAATGAAAATTCTCATCCACAGAATTTCTTCTGTCGCATGTGTGGCTGCGACATATTTGGCTTCTGTCGTGGATAGTGCAACAATTTCTTGTTGTTTAGAATACCACAAAACAGCGCCTCCGTCAACCATTATGGCGTAACCGGATATGGCTTGCCGGTTATCATTCATGCTCCCATCTGCATCAGTATATCTGGTGAGTGGTTGCTCATCAGGACCATACGCTAGCCACAAATCTCTGCTTCCTTTTAGATATTGAATTACCCTTTTTACTACCTCCCAGTGGGCTGGACCCAGGTTTTCGACGAAGCACAATAGAATAGTGATGGCATGTGCGATGTTGGGACGGGTGTTGATTGCCGCATACATTAGTGATCCCACCGCTTCTCGATGGGGGACATCTCGCATCTCTGCGTAGTCTTTGAGGGATTTAGGGCTTTGGTCCCTGCTTAGGTATGTACTTGCAACCATTGGTATTGCTAACGGTTTTGCATCTTCCAGGTTGAAGCATCTGATCACAGTGTCGATGTAGCTTTGTTGGGACATGTACAAGGTTTGTGCATTCCTATCTCTGTTGATCTCAATACCTAACATCCAGTGCGGTTTGCCCAAGTCACCCACTTCAAACAAACTCACTAGGTTGTTTTTAAGGTGGTTCATGGTGATCATAGAGGGGGTGACTAGTGTCATATCGTCCACATAGACAGCAATGATGGTAAGTCCTTCCTTTTTGTGTTTGTAGAAGACAGCATTGTCTGTTTTGTAATGGGCTAATCCTATCTTTTTAAGTCCATCACATAGTGTTTGATACCACCTACGGTCAGCCTGTTTAAGGCCATATAGTGTCTTGTTTAGACGCAGCACTATGGATTCTCGACCATGGGCACTGTAACCAGGTAATTGCCTCATGAAGATGACCTCGTTGTCTTCGAGTTCTCCATTCAAGTAGGCGCTCTTGACGTCCATCTGGTGAGTTTCTCAGTTGTTTCTCGCGGCTGTTGCTAATATGATTTGTAATGATGCCATCTTCCCTACAGGTGCAAAAGTGTCAAAATAGTTGATACCCTCGACTTGGCTGAAGCCTTGGGCTACCAGCCTGGCTTTATACTTATCAATGTCACCTGAAGCGGTCTTCTTGACCTTAAACACCCATTTACTGCCAACAATGTTGGTGTTCTTTGGTTTTTCTACGTACGTCCAGGTTCCTGCCTTATTGAGCCTTGCTAACTCTTCCTGGATAGCTTGATCCCACTTATCCCAATCTGGGCATCTATGAGCTCCTTCAACAGTTCTCGGCTGTTGCCCAGGTTTGAGGAGAAATTGTTACCAAAGTGTGCATCATAATCAATGGTGCTTATCAAATTCCTGGTCATATGGCCCCAGTTCAAATCAAGCAGGCTGTAATGTGCCTTTTAAAGACTGGTGCATTTGCTGACAGTGATCTTGATATCAAAGTGAGCTATCATTCTCCCATTTTTACACCAAATTGAACTATTTTTTCAAGGCCAGAACATTCAACAAGCAGAAGCCATTTTGTCATCAGATTTTCAAGGACTTGATTCATAATCAATAGTATAGGTGTAAGGGTGAGGGAGTATGCTATCCTGAACATTTCAAAGGCATTCCTTTAGCTCTACTTGCAATTACCACAGCAGTTGTATGTCCTCAATCTGTGGTCTGTATTATTTATTTGTTCCATTTTCTTTTCAGATTGAATGTTCCCTCAGGGGATATGTGAATGGTGATAAAGCTACCCAAGAATTCTCAGAGAGCATTTTAAAACCAGGTACAATATCATTTATTTAGGTCAGACTTAGTTTTTATTTTATTTCAAGGTGGGAGTGCTATTTCAGAAAGCTGTTGGTGCTTCAGAAGAAAAACCCTGTGAGGATGAAGCAAATGGGAGACAGTCTGTACCAGGACATTCTGTAAGTACCAGTATTTTGGCTGTTACCACCGTCACTAATTTTACTATAACAGAAATCTGGCCAATCTCCATTATCTAGGGATTGATGAAGACCAGATGAAGGATGAGGATTTTGGTATTGATTTTGAAGCTCTGGAGGATACTATCATTGCACAAGCTACTTGATAGTATTTGTAATTGCTCTCCTATTTACTGTTGCATATAGTACGATTGCTAATACAAAATATGACTGCGCTGTTTTCATTTCATTATTTGGTAATTGAATGCAATACGTGCTATGGGTGCTTTGAGTACTATAGGTACTATGGATGTTTTAATTGAAATAAGTGCTATGGCTACTCCAAATGCCATCATAGTATTGACATTACTATATGTGTGCTATAAGTGCTATAATTGCCATAGGTGCTATGGGCCCTATGTCTAAATGCCATCATAGTATTGACATTACTATAGGAGCTTCTTGGAACTATAGCCAACTATAAGATCAATATAAGAGCACATTGTGCCTAAATAGATGATGGGGTTTCTCTTACAGCTATAATCACTACAACAGCTATTTTTGCAATTATAGTACTATAAGAGCCCATATAGCCAAAGTGTTTTTCCTGATGTACATGTGTACTATACAGTTGATGAAGGCAGTGGCTGATGATGTCATAGGGCATAGCCTATGTGACCAGCTCCATTGTGTGAGAGACTTGTAACTAAGAATAAAGGAAAGCAGCGCAATGCAACAAAGTGGAGTTTGAACAAAATGGAAAGTGCTGCATGGCACAGTGTGTGAAAACTACAAAAGAAAGTTAAAGTGAGGAAATGAAATTTAAAGGTCCAAAAATTGTGTATCATAACAATGAGCCCCTTTGCAAGGGCAAAATCACCCTGCCACCACCTGCTCATTCTAATCCCCTCAGTGCCAAATTATTTCTTTGCTTACTACATAGACTATTTTCTACCCACACTCATACCACACACAGCTAGAATCACAAGAATCACCAACATAACAGGCAAGAATAGGATGGATACTATCAGAGGCTTCATTGAGTCATGGAAAAGTTGTTGGATACATGCTGACTTCTGCTTGTTAGGAAAAATTTCTCCTACATTTTTGCTGACAGAGAGATAGGCAATAAAGATGCAAGCATAATTTGATGGTTTGCGACGCATGGACCTTGGCAAGTTTCCAAAAGTGAGATACATCAGGAAAAACCCTTTTGCTATATAACGCTATATAGCCACCACCTATATATATCAATACATTTATAGAAACTATAGTACTATTAGCGTAATTATAGCTCTTATAGCTCTTATAGAGTAGTAGTAGGCAAAATTTTGACCAAGGGGAGAAGTATCTATATTTCCCTCAAATTCTGGATTAATCTAACAAACTTGTTCAACAATAGAAAGAAGCCAGAAGTGTTTGGAGTCAAGTATATGGTGACAATGAGTAAAATAACCTAAGTCCACACAAGGTCAATATATAATACCTGTATAATGCATTTTATAAGCTCTCATGGTGTAGTGGATACATGTGTGATATGTGGCTATAGGTTGCTTAGTCACCCAAAAGCTGACTAGCAGGTTGAGAGTTCAAATCCTGTCTGTGTTAATTCTTTTTTATTAGCTACACAACATTTTCTAACATCTATAAAAGCATTTATAGAGCTATATGAGGCTCTATAGATGGCAGAGGTTCTATAACAGGTTTAACCACTATAGCAGCTTTATAAGTACTTATAGTGCTATAGGGCTCTGTATAGCTACCCATTTTTCCTAATGTATACAGGATAAGCAGATTTATTGCCAGAGAACTGGTGACCTGAGGCAAACATTCCTACAAAACATAGATATTCTCTTTATCATTACATTTTTACAATAATTATTTGGACGCACTTGTACTGTATTTCACCTCTCTCATCCACATTTCAATTATAAATTCTGGATGACCTTGAAGTATCAGTAAAAATGTGCTTTGGTTTGTAAACTATGTCCTTGACATGAGCAAGGTTGCCTAGTTAGGATTTAATGGTGTCTACGGGATCACAAATGATTTATGCCCAATTTCATTCTGTATGGCCCAGCAAATAATCCTCTGTCAGGATTGTTTCATTTTCCATCTTCACTTACCATGTCTTGTTTTTTGAACACCTTCCCAGTCACACCGCTGGCCTTAGGGCTTGAAGTTTCCTTTGCTATTATTCTCCTTTTCTCTTTTTTTATTTTTATTTTTTATTGTTACCACTTTATATCACAAAAAAGAGAATGGGCAGCACTGCCAGCTGTCCAACACAACAGTTGAAGCGGTTAGAAATGTCTTCACTAACCAGCTCCAAATTGGGATAAGTGCTTGGAGATATTAATAGAGGTTCAATCTAGAATAGCACCCTACTTATGGGGATATTATTCTAGACCCACCTGACAAACTTATTAATAGATCAGTTTCTCATGCAGCTGATTAATCACCAAAGTTGTATAATATTAATTTTTTTCCTTATTGGCTGATTTTATCCTTAGACCACCTTTCTTTTATTACTTTGTGGTCTGAGGACAATACTTAATCCCTACATAAACCCTGTGCTATCATGTATCAGTTCCCTAGCGTTTTAGTACTTGAATAACCCATCTTACCTTTCAACAAAAACTCTCCAAGTCTTTCCCCTATCCTTAACTTGCTAATACTGTAATAAATATTGACTCCAAGACTGATTATACACTCTACTCCTTGCAGGTGGAGATAGGTTTTTTTTTGTTATAGTTTGAATGTTGCCTCTCATCCTCCAGTCCAACTCAGATGCAAAATGCACAAACATATTTTCTGTGCTTGATTGTTCTGTAGCTTCCATCTCAGCATACCATCTATATCAGCCATCCCAAATGCTCTTTCTCCTTCTCATATACTGTCTGATCCATTTTGATGACCTTTCCTACAGTGGGATCTTCATCTTCAACCCTTTCTTCATTATCTTCATCACGCTGCCAGCCAGGCCTGGAGGGTCTAACTACATTGTCTTCATTCTCCACGGAAACAAGAATGTAAATGCAATCATGGAAATCTTCCATGACTTCAAGTGGATCTTCATTGACAGAGGCAAGATTATCAAGTATACATTAACTCCAAAAACTCTTTCTATGTTGACTTTGGGTATCATGCATGAAGCATATCAAACAGTTTCAGTATGACACTTGGCTTTGGTGGAATTATAAATAGTACATACTCTTGGCTATGATATTGCCCCATATGTTATGTGAATTGGTTCACATGCTATAGAGATATGGTTAATTTAAAACAGCAACACCATGAAAAGGGTATTTGCATATTATCAGTACTTGGTATAGCCTTTGTTTGCTTTAAGCACTGCCTAAATCCTTCTAGGCATGTTTTCAATCAATCTCTGACACTCCTCAGCTGCTATCTTCTCCCACTCCACTTGAGTGAGTCCTTTCCCACAATTCATGAATCCTGTTGGGGGGATTTTCAATAGTGTTTAGGTTAGGAGACTGTATAGGCCGAACCATAATGTTGAATGCTTGCTCCTTTAGCCAGTCCTTGACTTTCCTGCAGGTGTGCTTGGGGTCATTGTCCTGATGAAAGATGATATCAGGAGGACTGAGACCATAATGCTCCAGGGTTTTCTGGAGCTCATCCTTCAAAATCTGAAGGTAAAAGTCCCCATCCATCCTACCATCAATCTTGGTAGCAAATCCAACTGCTTTCCAAGTTATACAGCCCTATATCATTAAGGAACCTCCTCTAAACTTGAGAGTTCTATCTACCAGCCTATCACTAAGCTCCTCACCTGCCCCTTTCCATACCCATTTTTTTCTATCTGACCCTAGGCAATTGATTTTTTAGTTTCATCAGACCATATGGCTCTTTTCCAGTTCTCCAGAGTCCAAACCTTGTAGGCATAGGGAGAATCCAAACAAGCTTTGCAATGCCTAGTAGAGAGAAGGGGGCATTTGGACTTCACAACAGTCTTCATACCAGATTTCTTCAAATAAAGACAACCAGTATTGGAAGAGAGGGGCTGGTTAATGATGTTGGTAAGGGCTTTGGTCACTTTTACAGCATTGTTAGCTTTGCAGAGGTAATAAGGTGTTGGGCATGTCAGATATTGGTAGGGGAAAGCTTCAAAGGACAAGCTCCAATAGCTTTAGATAGGGTAGAACACTTTTTGGAGCAAAGTTTGAATATAACAGAAGGGCTAACTATTACAATACACAATTTTTGGACCTTTAATTTTCATTCTCCTCCTTAACTTTCTTGTGTAGTTTTCACACCCTGTGCCATGCGGCACTTTCTATTTTGTTCAAACTCCACTTTCTCGCGCTGCACTACTTTTCTTTATTCTTAGCTACAAAAGTCTCTCACGCAGTGGAGCTGGTCGCATGGGCTGCGCCCTATGATATCATAAGCCACTGCTCCCATCAACTGTATAGTACACATGTACAAACAACCTGTAGTAGTATATATACCCCATTAGATCAAGGAGACTTCTCAGCGAGTCCTCCTGTTGTTTACCCACAACTAACTCGGTCCTATCCTAAGGGTAATCATTCCCCTTACTACCTTTATAGCTTTGTCTGAGTTGTGTGCCAGAGTAACAAACTCTTGGTTGTTACACTAACACCAGTCTGCTTGGCAATAGCTTCACTAGAGTAGCTAGCATCAAGCAATGAAAGGATAGAGCTTTTTTGAGTAAGAGGGAGGGATCTGACCATGATGCACTGGGGGAAATAACCTATGTCTCCTGAAATAAAATTGTGAAAAAATGCTATTCAAAGACAAAAATTACATAAACATTTTTCAGAGATAGAATGGTGGAGTAAGTTTGAGTTATTACTCACTTTTAAAACTTTGTACTCCACTTTCTTCACTAGAAAACATGCTATACATATTTTTAACTTATGGCAGGCAAATATTTTGAGCATAGTTTAGAGTTATTTTAAATGCTTACTGTTTTTTCCACAATTCTTCTACAGGGAAATCATTAATCAAATAATCTTCAAAGTCACAATTTCCTCCCTATTTTCATTGTGAATTTTAGCTGCGTTTATTCACAGTGTTTTTGCTCATTTATTTTTAAATGTCTGATCAGAAATAAGATATCATAAATACTGTTCTCATTCAAAACTTTGGATGTAAAAACATGATGATTGTTTGCTAC